TATCATTTTAAGGGTTATTATTATTGCAGGTGTTTTTAATATTATTTTATCGTTATATTTTCATTCTGTAACAACGTACAATGTATCATATGTTATTTTTTGTGTAATGTATATATGATCAAGAATTTTTCTGATCATGACCAAAAATAAGGAAAATGATCACGGTAAATATCATGTGACTTCAAACTTTTGCGTTATTCACTTTGCCAAAGGCAATCACACAGTAGCTATATAGTTACATATCGGAAAATTAAATCACAGATAATGAGATATATTACAAGATTTTTCATATCCAATATGGATTCATGTGTCCGATATAGATATTACTTAACTCAACCTTTTGAATATATTAGTAGCTTATATAAAACAATGGCAAGTACTCAATCCGCAATTGAAATGTTGAGAGAATTGAATTCCAAGCTCACATCCTAGATTGTTAAACTTAGGAAAGAGAATGCTGAGATTTCTGAACTTAGAAAAAATTTTCCGAAGTTGAGGCTGAGAACATAGAACTTAAAGCTGAGAACGTAAAATTAAAACAAGCTTTGGAAGAGCATGAATTCAGATTTATAAAACTGGAGTAAAACGATAAAGATACCGCCTCGGAAAATGCTGAACTTAAAGCTAGGGTTGTGAAACTGGAACAGAAACAGTTACAAACTGATGAAGAAAAGAGCAACCATATTATATTACGAAGTAATGACCATGTCAGTTCTGCTGATACTCCCATATCTAAATCGGATGATGATACCAGAGAAATCAGACCCAAAGGGGTAGTCTTAAACTATCACCAACCTCTAGTTAATACTACCTCTATCGAAACGGAAAATTCTAACGATAATCCTGAACAGACAAACTTACGCTGTGATGATACTCTTGCAACTAATATATTTGACAACACTTCAAATTCTGGTGTATATCAGGAGCTTTCATCCCAATACCCCGCATCACCTATTCGCACAGAGAGTAAATCATTGGAAGATAAGGAAGTCGATGAATCCCTGAATTCAACGTATAGGGAAAAAGTTAGTAACGAGATAATTCAGAGCATTAAGGAGAAGAGGCTTCGAGAACAAGAGACAATCATAACTTCCCAGGATACTGTCCCTATCATCACCCGTGAACAAGGCTTTATTCAGGAATTATCTGCAGGTAACAGTTACAATAATGCATCTCCATCTGTCCAAGATCATAACTCCATATCTCTGGATCATATAACTGAAATTTCGCTAACCCCGGTCAGTAAAAATATTGAGGAAAAAAATCCTATAACTATACTTTCAGTATCAAGAAGTAAAACATTGCTAAATTTAGCCACCTTATACTGGAAAGCTTGTGATGTGGAAAAGCAAGCAATAAAGGCTAATCAAGATGAAATTTTATGCTGGTACCATTATGTTATTGAGTTTGATAATCAAGTTAAAAACATTATGAAAAATGAGCAGGTTGGTGAGAAAAAAGCGAAAGGACAAATTTATGATTTTATTATTGCACAACTTGATACTAAACGTAATACATTACAGAAGCAAATCCAAAGAGCAAGACAAATTTATAGGTTATTCGAAAAAATAGGAATTGATAAGGTCAAATATATTAAATCATATAGCGCGAATACTATTTCAAAATTTACTAATTCTCAGATTCAAACGATTATAGATTACTTCATCAAAAGGTCTGATATAGAATACACTAAAGCTCCTCATAGGCCTTAAGGCTCGCGAGCCTAGCGAGCCGAGCTGATCCAAGCCAAGTCGAGCCTGATATTATAGACTTATAGGCTCGCGAGCCAAGCCCAACTAAGGCCTGGCTCGAGCCTTAAAAATTTTGGGACCTTAAATAAAAGCCCCACATAATTTTTTTTATTTTAAAATTCGTGGCTTTATTTAAAAGCCACGAATTTTTTTTTT